ATTGGTAGATTTAAAAACTTTTCAGTTACCTCCAGCTAGGCTAGTATCTTAGCACCATTAGATCATGTGAGAGGAATGTTTTTAAGCTTAACTCGATGTAGATATGCATGTAAAGAAAATCCATCTGGTGATGTAGATGTAGGTGCAATTAATTATCTAGATTTTTAAACCCTGAGAGTGGCTTTCCTGCTTGTTAATATACATGGTATCCATGAGTCAGAAATCATATGGATGATATTGTATAAAATTGAGGGTATATATGAGAAACTTGATTTTGTGAGATAACAGCATTATAAAGTTAATGATTTACTTTGAGGATATTAAATGGTTATGTTGAGTTAATTAGAAACATATTCCTACAATTTATGGATACGGATTTGGATCTTTTTCATGGTGAGGGTTGACTATGACCTTGGATTTAATTGTTGTAATATCTAAATTTAGTTAAATTGGATCTTCTTTGGTTATCAATCAAATGTATGGTGTGAATTGGGTACAACATTGATGAATTTTGTAAGTTAAAATTTTATGGTAGGAAATAGTTCATAGCTAGTTCATGATCTCTTATAGGGAACTTATGAGGAAATCACATAATGAAAGCATAAGCAAATCTGATTAGTTAACAGACACAAGATTGGATCAAGACCATGAGAACTTTTTGAGGATCCATAATATTGGAATTGAGAATTTGATTGGAACTTACAAGGTGATTTTTTTTTGGGAACTATAATGGATAAACCCTTATAAGTAGGTTTAGTGGGATAAATAATAAGTGTTGTAGATAGATTAGTTTAGAACTTTGATGGGTTAGAATGGTTTAGTAACGAGTAACTACATGATATAATTTGCCTATATATTAGGTTACAAATATGATGAGGAAGATGAACTAGACCAGAATATCATTGTATTTAATCATCCTATCTTCACTTTATATCTTTTTAAAAAAAAAAATTCTAAGTGATTGCATGTATGAGTATATGTAGCTTGACATGTGAGCTTGACATGAACCCGTGTTTGCTTGATATTTATGTTCCTGAAGCATCCCTAGACTATTCAATACGGGTTATTCACAATGTATGATATTAATATGACTATGTACCCAATATATGACCGAGATATTACATGAATGCTTGATATCTAGAAATATATATTAATTCTTGAGAATTGCCACTGAAACATGATTCCAACCACATGTCTATAAGTTTAAGAAATACAAGGACAATAGCTTCATGAAAAGTCTCAGGCTAGGATCTACCAGTTTTATATTAGTATCAAATTATCTTATGTTATACATGTTTTATGACGCCATAGTGTGAATGTCAAGCGAGTCCTTCAAGACACCATTGTAACATTGATATTGGGATACATGTTTTAGTGAGAGGGGGCTCGTGATCTTCCTCCACTGGATTGTGATTGGTGGTGGTCCTAAGGGTGACGATCCTTAGGATCAAACTTGGGAAAGAATTGGTTTACATGTATCACGTCTTGACTGATCTCGCAGGGGATTCATACTATGGAGAGTCATTTCTAATCGGCTTATAGCATATGATATGATATGAGATATATACCACAACAATATAGATTTGGGTACCACATCTCTTTATTACTAGTAACGTCAAGTTTCTCGTGTGCTTGGGTTTAATTTCAAGGACGAAATTTCTTTTCTTAGGTGGGTAGGATGTAATAATCTATTTTTTTTTTAGTTGCAAATCAATTAATTAAATTGGTTGGATAGGCAAGGTTTCTTATAGGAGGCTCACCGGATGTTGGGTTTGGAAAAAAAAAACAATCAAGGCCCATTAGTGTTGTTATCATAACAAGCCCAATGTATAATCCCATTTATACAAATCTGTTGAGTTGTTGACAACATGAGATTCCGTTTTTTTTTTTTTTTTCCAACCAACTCCATGATTTGATCTCTCAAATCCTAACTAACTCCTCCATTACCTCCACAAATCTCCACTACCGCAACATCCAACTAATTCCCCCAAATCTCCCCACTAAACCCTCCACTATCCTTTAATCTCTGGAGAATACTCTCTTCCACAACTTTGCTCAACGGAACAAAATAAGAGAGAGAGAGAGAGAGAGAAAGAAAAAGAAAAGAAAAGGAAAGAGGAAGGAGGAATTCTTTCGATCCGTCTTTAGAATTTGTTATCTTTTGGATCTAATACTCAGGCAAGCATCTTTTCCCTTGATTATTATGGTTGTTATTATTATTATTATTTGGATTTTCCCCTTCATGCAAGCATTCTTTCAACTCTTATTTTAGTGATCGTCTAATATTATTTTTCATAACCAGCAAGTATTATTATCCCTTCTAGTATTCTGCACTTTTCATGTAATTACATTTAGTTCTCTATCTAGTTATTTTCATCAATAACTAGTCACTGGTTGTAGAATAAGTTAGTCCGGTAAGGCTGTAAACATGTTCTTCCGTTTTTTTTTCAAATATGCATAGTTCTTAGTATTCAGTGTTAGTACCTCCATTTCACATAGTATTGATAGTCCGGTTATCCATAAAAAAAAATGAGTCCAATTATATGCACAGGTCATGCCCATGTCTAACCTATTTTATAGATCAAGTGTTATTGAGTCGTTCACCAACACGTGATTGAAAGCTTCTGCTTATAAAAGCCTTGATGTACTTGACTAATTTCACATAGGCTTCTTTATCTTTGGCCATGTTACTACTGCATTAGTCCCTTCGATGTTCTTGGTGCATATAAGAAAGTAACTTTTCAGAGAATCCATATAAAGGTCTTTAGTGGAAATATTACTTTATGTGAACTTATATGTACTTGAATCAAAATCGAGCATTCGAATCTGTTTTCAGATAGATATTTAAAGTGTGACTATTATCATATCATGTTAAATATGATGTTATGATTGCATATGTACAAACTTCAAGATTTTTGTTTGATTACGTAGTCACATCTATTAGGCGGGTTGCGCATGAATAGATATCCTATTTAGATATGGATCGGAAGCATGACCTGGTGACATAGACCATATGATACATGTATGATTGATTTGTACTTGTTATGAACTTAATTATGCTTGATATGCATGGCTTTATGGAAATTGTTGTTTGATCACCTAGTTGTCCTCCAATAGGAGAGGCTGTGCATGAAGACGACTCCTGTTAAAAATATGATTTATAAGCGTGCTTTCATAGCATGGCTATGCTCTCGATATCGACATCCCGATATGAGATTTTTCCTTGGCTATTACTATTATAGCATCGACTAGACGATGCACCCATCTTGATTGGACATGTTCTGGGTCACGGTTATTTTCATAGTTTTACAGAAGTCGTTCCACGGTAATAGTGTGGTTAGTGCACAACATTTCATGCACAGTCATTTAAAAGTTAATCGACAAACATGGGGTTTATAAAGGGGAATTAGACGAAGAATATAACATGTATATAAACGGGCATATGCGCATTCCTGATATCCTGAGTTATATATACATGGGCCAAAGGGCCAATTCCTGACTTGAAGCCGTGTTCCCGGGACGGTTTACGGGGAACCGATTTATATACATGAAAATATTCTTCTCTAATTCAAATAACATGTAAAATAAGAATAATGTGTTTATATGCTTTGTGATAGATTTTGGCATGCATAGCATGGCCTGGAGGAAGTATTGGTGATGTATATTTATATTGTTTGTTTATAGAATTTTGGAAATTGATATTTAGAGATTTACAATTTGAGATATATGGTATATACGAGGGTTTCCTTGTTTGGATTATTCCCTCGACGTACTCATCTCGTGTTGTGAGTTTCTAAATCTGAACTCCTTTTAGTATAGGGTATAAGATATGTGCTTGAGGTAGACCACGATTGATATATACAATTAGCAATTTTCCCCAGTCATCTTTAATTGAGCTTTCAATCATATTTTGGTTATAAGATATGGCATTTTCTTTTATCACTAAAATTTAGAATTTATCTTTTCTTTATATGGCTAATGCATTTATGAGCTTACGACGCACAATTTTCCTCATTTTTACATGCCTTGTTGGGAGTTTTTCTGACTCCGCCATGGGGTTTGCATGCCCCAGACTAGGGATTGTTTTCTTAGGCAGGACGAGAGTAACTTTGAGGTGCAGGTCCAACGCAGTGGATAAATTTTCAGTCCGATCATTTCTCCCAGCTTTAGTTTATTTAGTCTTTTCGCTGCAATCACTTGTGGTTCTCCAGACTATAATGGTAATTTTCTCTTTCTCCTTGGATAGTTGTGGACATGTAAAGAATCTGTCCTATTGTAAGATTTTCCCTTTATCTATTTATTTTCGCTCTGCTATCTTAGTTACATGCTCTATGTAGTAGTTTTTTTTGGGCAATATACTTGTATACAGGATGATCTAGAGAGCTGAATGTGACTTGTATGGTTGGCATTGCAGGCCGAGTCACGGCTCCAGAATTATGGCATTTTGGAAACGGGGCGTGACAATATATAGTATATATATATATGTATCTATATATATATACATATATATATATATATATATATACACACACACACACATATATATATATATTTATTTTTTTATTTCCTGTATCCCACATCAGAAGGATGAGTACATGTTCGTATTATTAATATATATATATATATATATTTTTTTTATTTCCTGTATCCCACATCAGAAGGATGAGTACATGTTCGTATTATTAATATGTGTGTGTGTGTAGCAAACTCCTTTAAATATATGTGTTCATTGTTGGGTCGGGTTGCTATCTCATGTGTAAGCATATAGAGTAGAGTGGGCTGTTATTCACATACAGATAAACCTAAATTATTAGAGCCGAGTTATATACCAATTAGCTATTGTCAAACGAAGAGCAGAACATACTTCACTTCTACAGTTCTACATACCTTCTGCATATAAATTAATAAAAAGAAAGCTGCAGATGGTTTCAAAAACATGGTATTCAGAAAAACAAAATATAACCATCACCACGATTCAAAATGCTAAAAACATTACATACCTTGACTTTTTGTTGGTGCTCCCTTTCAAGTTCAAAAAGAGTACCTTCTTCCAAGCTATTTTTGTGCATCAAAAAACTTTGAGTTGAATTAATATCTAACTCCTCCTCAGATGCTTCCGAATCACTGCAATGGAGGAAATGATAAATGAGTGCATAACAAAGTAAATGTCAACACTTGAAACATGAAACCAACAATCTTCCCTCCAATAGCACTTTGAAGCAAAAAATTGACTGAATGGGATGATAAGCAATAGAAATATTCATATTTCAAACATCCAGTTGCAAATTCTTATGACCAATTTGTAAGATATGTATCGATGAGCAGAGAGATGCATGAAGCACAAGTTTAAAGTAGGAGACAAGGTTCAAAGAAGCAGAAAATTTAACTATGGTCAGTTATTGCATCTATTGTATATAAGCATGTCAATTTTCCATCTGTGGTTTTGATATCATTCAAAGCTTTGTATTCCTAAAAGGCACTAGACGAGAATACAGATTAAAAGCAATACATTGCAGCTTGACTAAATCATTATAAAGAATGTTTCTCAGAGCCTGCGTGACCCAGATCACGAAAACTTCAAAGAACCCTGAGCATGGCACCTTCCAATGAATGGACTTGCAGAGTGATGACTGTGATATTATGCCAAGAAATAGTTGCAAGGAAAATAATCTCCAGAAGATGGATACTGTAGAAACAACATCAAGTGATATTTGGTATGGCATAGAAAGTGAAATTCCACCCAAACACAAGTTTCAAATTAAGTGGATCGGAATAGATGTTGACATAGCACGTAGTTAAAGTATGTCCCAATGCTAATACCAGAATCATTCAATTAAGAAAATATAGGTTTCTTAATGGGGTGGAATCACTGTTATAAATAGCGGTAAATAGCCTCGCAATAGCGGCGCTAATAGCGTTAGCGGTCCCTTCCCGCGACGCTATCGCCCGCTACGCTATTGCGCAATAGCGGTGACATATTGCGGAATATATATGTTTGCAAAAACGGCCAATAGTGTATCATAACGGTAAATAGTGAGCGATTGCATTCGAAATTTACTTTTTGACTGCTATTTAAAAGCGGTTTGAGGCTTTTTAAAAAAAATTAAACTCAACCATTGACCATTGCATTCCACCGTCTCCTGTGATTTTCAGCATACTCTCATCACCTCTCATAGCCTCTGGAACCTACCTTGATACTTCCTCTCACCTCCTTCACCGTGAGCTCATCTTAGAACAATCATGTCACCGCTAAGCTCTTTTCTCAAAGACGATGACTTTTTGACTCCTACAGTCATCTTCGGTATTACGTGATGGTTACATGTTTATTTCATGTTTAAGATCTTTTTAAATCATCTAATATGTACTTTTAGATTTCTTAGATTTTTTTTAATTTTTTTTAGTATTTATACATATCTAAATTAGACCGCTATTTGACTTTACGTTTTTTACCGCTATTTTGCCGTAATAACCCGAAATAGCCTTAGCGGTGCCTCACCGCTACGCGACGCTATCCGCTATCGATAACCTTGGGTGGAATGTGTGAACTAGTTCCCGTGTTTAGGTAACATTATCTACAAGGACTATGACAATAGAGATGAAATGATAAAACAATAAAGGTACTGAAATCTACAATATTTTGAAGCAAATTGACATTTTAGACTTTAGAGGAATATATAACAATGAAGATATTGTGGAGCCCACGACAAATTAAACTTCTCAATCGCCAATCATGGGCAGGACTGGTGTACATTGAGCAATGAGCACTATTAACCAAGTGATATGGATACTGCTTATCAAATTATGAAACAATTAAATGTGCACAAGTTAGCAGAGGAACATGAGAGCAGTGTTCTTGCTCAGTATCATAACAATCCCTTCTGCAGAAAATAAAGATCACAAATTGTTTCGTTTAAACTCAAGGAATCCGAACTTCTTAAATTTGCTTCCTCTAGTCCTCTTTGAACAATCTCCGGTAGTTCCATACTCAATACCACCGAATATATTTTATTGCATCAAAGTTCTCAAAGTTCATAAATATACCCTTGAGCTGCTTACTACATGCTTTCAACAACAGACTTTACAAAAATAAACCTGACTAGATGCATACCTAAAATCAAGATCGTTGCAAGAAAACCGAGCCCCGGCCACCAAACTCTTAGCTTCACTTACTTCATCCTCACTTTCACCATAACTTTCTGCATCATCGTCACCACTCGTATCATCATCAGAGATGCTCATGACAAATGGCTTATGACCTCGTGAAACCAGCTCCTCCACTTTTAAAATCTCCCTGTAAAATATCAGCCATTTCAACAGTAGCATAAGAAATTACTAAAAATATCAGCAGAAAAAACACAAAACACAGTATCAAAATCCTTACTGGTACCCAGGGGGTGGTTGCTTAAGAGGCGAGGGCGAGTGATACCCGAGCTTTTCCTCCAACGTATTAAGCTCAGTCAAAAGATCATTCATAGTCCAATTAGGCTCTGGATCTACGGAAGCCACTATCGCCGATCTCTGAGGGCATCGAGGCTCCAATTTTATGAAGCCCCTGCAATAAAATTTCCAAATTCAAATGAGGAATTACGTTCTAAATCCAAAATAACGAAAATAGGTCAAAATGACGAACAAACTTACATCCCCGACGATTTAAGCTTTTGCAGAAACCCTAAGAGGATTCAACCGTTGAAGTGAGATAATAGAAACCCTATATTTGCGAAGGAGATTACAAATGCTGAAGAAATTGAGGAGCTGATGCAACGAGAAGGGCGATTACGGTTTCTTCTCGTCGGCAATGAGATCGAGATTCTTGGGAGCGATCAGCGAAGCGAAGAAATTGGGAGGGAAAAGATTTCTTGTTTATGGGCTTTTGCGTTCGAGGCTCCGGTGGCGTTGTAGGCGTTACGTTTGGACCCGGTTCAAGTAGTTCAGGATCCGAACCCGATAAAGAAATCAAATGAGACTCGGATTCAGTCTTCAGGTAGGACTCCCTCTTCACTTATCGGAGCCGGGTTGCATCCGAAGTTCTATTCGCAGAGATCCAGAGAACTTGTATCTTCAAATCCAAACCCAGATTCGATCGGGTCGGGCTTAATTGCAATTCTTCCTTCTCCCCATTTTCACTCCCGGTACAAAAACCCTAAAGCCCTCCTTCCCAATTTCCCCTTTTTGTTTTCCCCAAAAATTCAGGATAATTATAGCTACTTCACCATGGCGATTGCTTCTTGTTCTCTCAATCTTCGAATTCTTCATCGTTCAGTCAGAGCCTCATCGCTTCAGCCTCTCGCTCAGAAGAATCTTTCATCGGTTTCTCTCCGCAGTCATAGAATCAAAGGTGACACAAATTTCTTCACTCTTCTCTCTTCTCAAATGGTTTGGTAGTTAGGTCTTGGTTTAATTTATGAAAGATCAAATCTTGGCGTTCTTTTTGCTCCCAATTTGTCTGTAGTACGCTTTATTACAGTGTATTAGAAATTTAAATCTGTGTTAAAAGAGAATGTGCTTCTTTTGACTCTTTTATTCATCGAATTATGCTAGTTGGAGGCAATTTCAGTTAAATGCTACTGTTGTGGCATGCAGTTGTAGTTACACTTGCTTGATTCAGTTTTAAAATGTTGCAATTTGCTGCTAGAACTGTAGTTGTTTGCTGACGTATCAGTTTCTATTGGACTTTTGTTAGGGGTTAGCTGCAATTTAAAGTTTTAAATCTCATTCACAACTCAAAAAGATTACGACGCTGACTTGCCTCTAAATCTGCGTGAGTCTTGTTTGGAAATTTAGTTTCAACTATATTTATTAGTTGCAGTGAAACAAGCAACTACTGCTGATCCAAAATTAAATATCTCAGTTGCATGTAACTACATATACAATTAACTAAACAGCCATTTAATGTTGTTCCGTGGGGATTAGTGTGGTATCCTACTGTGCATCTGTACCAAATGTGAAGGAAATGGCTTACGTTTGGCATGTTCAGCCTTGAAGTTAAATAATTCTGATGGCCTCATCTAAAAGAATGTAATATGCTACTGAGAGGTTTTCTTGTTCATCATACCCAATTTGAATGTTGATCTTTTAGTGTGATCATTGAGACCTCTTGTTGTCAATGAGAGGGATGAAGCAGCTAGCAGCATTCTATTTACAGTGAAGTTATATTCTGTTACTGTTTGTTTATAGGATTAGTGTCTTAGAAGATATTTTGTGAAAATTTGTGATCTTTATAGCATAATCAAGCATTTGGTTATTGCAAGAATTATTCCTTTTCCAGAAAATTTCTGCCAGTTCATATTGCAGCTATTTTCTATCAGAGATATTGGTTAAGTCTATGTTGTTTCTTGCTACTTGATCGTAAATATTGATTTTGCTTGAACACATGGAATGCATGGTAGGAGAGATTTTAATAAGCTGGGCCAATTTTCTGTTCCTTATATCTATTGAACTTATTTTGGTCAAATGTTGATGGATAAAATAACATTTTCATCTAGCTAAATTTTTTGAAACATCAGTTAGATGTAGATGAAATGTGAAATGGTAATTTTCAGGTCATTTTACCCTTGCATCATGTCAGCCCCGAAATTTGTCCATTGCAGCGGCAGAAGAATCTACAGTTATACCATTTGAATCAACTAGTGATTTGTCATCAGACCATGAAGAATGGTCTGCACATGAAAACCCTGAAAATGATGAAAGCCTAGATGATGGTAAAGATGAACCTGAATACTTAAGTGGTAATAAAATGGTCAAAGTCTGTGATAAATTAATCGAAGTATTTATGGTTGATAAGCCTACAACGACTGATTGGCGAAGATTGCTCGCTTTCAGCACGGAATGGAACAACATTAGGCCTCATTTTTACAACCGATGTCAGGAAAGAGCAGATGCAGAGAGTGATCCAGGAATGAAGCACAAACTTCTTCGACTCAACAGAAAACTCAAGGAGGTGTGTCAAATATTCCAAATCCAAAATCTGTGTTAAGTATTTTGCTCTCCCTTAGTTTCAACTTATGCCTTGGTTGCATATATCTATACACCGGTATAAAAAATAGAGCTTTTTGGTGCATATGCTAAGTCGTTCATTTATAATGAAAATAAAAGTTTTTTAATTATTAATTATTTGATTATTTTTATAATTACTCCATTTTTGCCAATATGCCAGATAGACGAGGATGTACAAAGGCATGAGGAACTTCTTGAAATGATTAAGGAAGCGCCTACTGAAATCAGTGCTATTGTTGCTAAGCGCCGGAAAGATTTCACAAAAGAATTCTTTGTGCATCTTCATACTGTTGCAGAATCATATTATGAGAATCCTGTACAGCAAAATGGTAAGAGTGGATGTATCCATTTGCATTTTGCACCATGTTTCCTTCAAATTTAGTTATATGGTAGATCCCATAATGTGAGGGAAATTTTCTTGTGTTTTTGATATATACACCTCAGTCTTTCATTTTTAAAACAAAATTCAGAAAATCATAGAGATCCTTATAAATTTGTCCCTGTTCATTTGAAATAAAAGAGAATGTCCTTTTATATTCTGTTAATTGATTATTGCATTTGTATTTTAAGCATCTTTTAGATATGTACCTCTCAAATATTTCATATTTTAGAAGAATGTCACTTCTACTGCTCAAAATCAGATGGAAGATGACGGGAGGGCCAATGTTGTAAACCCTATAATCTGGGGTTTATTTCTATATTTGTGGGGCATTTCAAGGGGTATATACCGAAAAAAAACCCAAAGTTCTTCAAGCATTGAATCACAAAGATTTTCCTTATTTTTTCCCTTTGTTTTATGTCCAATTTCCTTTTTATTTTCAGTATCATATGAAGGTTCTTCTCCTCCTCTGTTTAGTTTATATTTTTTTTATTTTTGATACTTTTTCCTTTTTTTCTGCCTGTTTTCTGTTGTTTTATTCTCTTTTCTTCTTTCTTAATTCACAATTAAACTTCCTCTGATAGCTGGATAGCAAATTGGCTTATCTGCGAAGTAAAACAGATGTAGAGTCATGTAGGAAACATAGAAAACCTAGGTGAAATGTGCATTTCTTTTATTTAAAAAAAAACATAAGAGCATGTATGCAGAATAAACCTGTAAAACTGTCTTGTGCAAGTTCATAAGACTGGCCTTTGCCTAAGTTTATAACTACTTATGTCTAATAGGCATTTCGATGGATAATTAGTTAATGATTCTTCTGTAAAGTTTCATTAGCCTGTGAATTGATCTTGTGTGAAAATTCTTTGTACATGGTATATAACATTGGAGCTGGACATAGAAGCACAACCAATTTGGTATTTGAGCATACGTGTAGATTTCTATCTTTTTTTTAAATCTCATAGATTGACATATCCAGTAATTGTGTTCAATTTTATTATCCTAGAATTGTTAAATGTATATTACTTTTCTCTCTTTAGATTGGATTTATAGTTTTTAACAGTTGCAAGTTTCCCATCAGAATTGGCAAAGCTTGGGAATGCTTGCCTAGCTGCCGTGCAAGCATATGATACTGCCACAGAAAGCATCGAGGCTCTGAATGCTGCAGAGTTAAAGTTCCAGGACATCATTAATTCTCCTAGTATAAGTGATGCATGCAAAAAGATTGACAACCTGGCAGAGAAGAACCAGCTCGATTCTGCTCTGATGTTGATGATCAGCAAAGCTTGGTCAACGGCCAAGGAATCAAATATGATGAAAGATGAGGTATGAAATGGTTGAAAAAGTTGAAATTTAAAATTATGCCACATAAAATTGTAGCCATTTAATTGTACAGATGCATTTGACCCCAAATGTAAATGGTTTAAGCAATTACTTTTCTTGTCTTTTAATTAGGAGCAATATCTGGTAATATATTCTCAAATGCAACTTTTTTTCAATATGTATGGAAAACTTAAAAAATGCATTTTAGTCTCTTCTTTTCCCCTTCTTTCTCTCTCACATTTTGTACGTAAATTTGGGAAAATCCTTATTTATTGTATTCTTTTTAGGATAACTTACATATGGGACAAATTTTCAAAATAGACCCGTTTAGAAACTTATTTGCAAAATACGACCTATGTCGAAACTATTTGCCAAATTCGACCAAGTTTCAGCCAACTGGCTAAATTGGGTCGAATTTGGCGAAAAAACATCAAAAACTTCACGGTATTTCAAATCCCGTGAAGTTTAAGCCCCCATTAGTAACTTTATTAGGGAAGCCAAAGCTTCACGGGACTTGAAATCCCATGAAGCTTAACATAAAATCCCGTGGAGTTGCAGGTTTCAAAATACATGCACAGAATGTGTGCATGTTTTTTATATACATGAAAAAATTTCACAGCAATATACATAAATATTTCCGCCTCATTCACAACAATATACATGAAATTTCCGCCTCATTCACAACAATATACATGAATCAAACAATACACACGAAAATCACATATATACTGAATTACAACAATATTCATAAAATTTAACCATGAATCAAACAATATACATGAAAATCACATATATAAACAATAATCGATCCACAAAAGTAACAAATTTGAACAATCTAACAATATCGTTCTTGAAATTCATAATCATACTGTTAAATTTCACATACATCCCAAAAATACTCTCCTTCCTCTCCCTCTCTTACCATTTCCCCTCAGGCCCTCACTCTCCCCCCATCCCTGCCCCCTCTGTCCATGCTGATAAGCCTCGATGATCTAAGTATCTGGTTGTGTATGAGGCTGAGAAGTGCCAGCTCCATCAACATGCGTCGTGCTATGAGTAGTGTCGGCTCCATTGTCATGCGCCGCCCTTTGACCTATCCTACATCTTCGTGTGTACACTTGACCAAATTGGCGTGACCTGTCCTCACGGCTTTCAAACTCGTCGACATGATTTTTATGGAACACGTTTGCTATTCTCTGTCTAATCCTATTAAAGATTCATAACACCGTCGAATCCTGAATGTCATTGATATGCTCATTTATATCAACCTTAATCTCATCAAAAACATTGATCTGTGAGTTAATCAATATTTACAAAACTTAGCAAATAATATCTTAATAAAGTCGTTTTAATTTAGTTTAAAAACTTACATAATCTCTCTCGATCATGGCACTAGGGATATAACTATCTATCGGTGAGTGTTACGTATCCAGCAGTACTATTGTATTAGAAGTTAGAAATAAATTAAAATTAAGATGGAATTATATTTTGAAGCTAGATCAGAAATAAGGATTGGAGTGGGTGGGCTTTAATATGGACCAAGGAAGACGGAAGTCAGTTAATAATAAAATTTCTGATCATGTGACTTGCATATGATCGATTTTAAATGATATGATATCAAAATGCTAGCAAATTAACTTTTGGAGGGAAAGGTATTGAAAAAATAAACTATAGGAGGAATATGTGATATCATGAAAAAAGTTTGGCTAGTGTGATTACCATTTTCTTTGATGAATATGATAAGAATCGTGGAAAAGTTTGGTAACTAATCCAATTATGGTTTGTTTCTTTTAGAACTTACACATAAAGTGCTACTTATGCAGGTTAAAGACATACTATATCATTTATACAAGACAGCTGTAGGTAATCTTCAGAGATTAATGCCAAAAGAAATCAGGATTCTTAAATATCTACTCACAATCGAGGACCCAGAGGAACAATTATGTGCTCTGAAGGATGCATTTACTCCTGGACAAGAGCTGGAAGGGAAAGATGTTGACTGCTTGTACACGTACCTAAACTTAACTCTGCAAAATTTAACAGTTTTTTTTTTGTATATTTATTGGGGATTTTAGAAGCAAAATAAAATATTTTCTGATTATCTATTTTGTATTTGTAGAACACCTGAAGAGCTGTACACATGGATGAGAACAGTCGTGGATGCTTACCATTTTAGTAGAGAAGGAACTCTTATAAAGGAAGCAAGAAACTTGATGAACCCGAAAGTTATTGAGAAAATGGAGAACCTGAAGAAGCTGGTAGAGAAAAAATTTCTTTAGCTTTCACAATTTAAATTGGCACCTCTGGTTCAAGAGTACGCAGTCTCAAGATTTGAGGAATGGTGCATGTGTGCAGATATTGCTTTCAGTGAGGATGCTACTGAAGAATTGCATACTTGGATGCAGTAACCTTATCGCCTTATGCCCACTAGATATGTATTATGTTTATGTAACAGAGAGATCATCATGGCCTCATGCATGTTTGTATTTATACAGCATTGTTGCACGAAGATCGCATTGTATCATGTTATAAAGATGAGATTGTAGCATATATTTCTTTTCTTTTATTTTCTTTCGTTCTTTTTAAGTAATCTCTTTATGCTTGGCTGTTTATACATTCTTTTACATTATCAGGCAGAACAGAAGCAAAGTTGTTATTTAATTTTACTTAATTTGAATTTTGAAGGAAAAATGAAAACAACCAACAAGAGGAACAATCTTAAGTCCCTCTACAGAAAAATTATACAGGGGTAAAGTAGAATGTGTCACACGTTTTAGCACATACGTAGAGTTGGTGATTGAGTTAGAACACTATCCTTATCGCATCTATATTTAACTGATTGCACTGATATATCTCAATATTGTGTAGTGACAATTTAAAATTGATATTTGAACAAATGTTATTTTATGACTTTTTATAGGGCTAAATATCCATATTGGTATTTTAATTCCACACCATTTACCAAAAAGGTATTTTAATTAGGCAAACCTGTTTTAAGGCATTTTAATTGATTCAACTTACCAACTGGGCTATTTTTCTCGTTGGCGACCAGCTTTTCGGCGAGAGCTCGTCACGTGCGTGGCACGTGATGACTTAAACTGATTTTTAGCTGCTGATGTGACACTGATTTTCTGGCGTTGTAGTGTTTAAAGGCGGGAATTAACCCTCTAAAAATCCCAATTCACCAAAAATAGGACAGATTCGTCCTTTTTATTTTCAGAATTTGAACACGAAAGAGAGGGAGAAATAGAGAGTGGGAAATCTTGGAGGAGGCAGTTGAAGGAGATAGATTGCAGGGATTTCATATGATGGTGGTTCCTCAGTTGATGTAGAAGGTGATTTTCGGAGAACGAGACCTTGAACTTACATGAGATCTCAATTTTCCACTGACCCTGCTTGCTTTAGAACGAGAGCTTGAACTTGATGACGACGACATAATACCTTCTCTTCCACGCTCAATCTCAGCTTGAATGCCCCAATTTGATAAACCCTAGTTTCCAATCTCAACCAATCCCAGCTTGAATCCCCTCTTTTATTCTCTCAACTGTTTTATCCACGTTAGAAAATTCGTGCCACACCAGCAGCTAAAAAATAGTTTAAGTCATCACATGCCACACACGTGACGAACTTTTGCCAAAAAATTGGTCGCCGACGAGAAAAATAACCTTGTTGGTAAGTTAAATCAATTAAAATACCTTAAAGTAGGTTTACCTCATTAAAATACATTCTTGCTAAATGGTGTGGAATTAAAATACCAATATGGGTATTTAGCCCTTTTTATAGTGTCATCTATAGGATTTTTGTTTTTCCCCATCAAGGCTCTGAGGCCATGAATGCATTCTTGGTTAATATAATTCTCACTATTTTCACCTTGAACTAGAAATAGCCAAACATACGTTTGGAGAACTTGCACGCATCAACCCCATAGGAAACATTGCCCTGTATCATCCTGTATCATATATCAGCAAATCAATTTCTTAGCCAGATACACAAGTCATGTAATATGAGGATTCTGATACATTTAAGTTCCCAGAGTCTTCATTTTACATTAAGTTTCAGTATTATTGTTTCGCCTAATAAACTTCCTCCGCATCCCACAGTGCTCCTATATACACACACATCTTAACCACTTAATGTTCACATCTTTATATTTTGCTAAATTAAAAAATGTACAATATATTAGGCATAATACCCATTATTTCAGAACTTTTGTTTTAGTCGTGAAGGTATCAAATCTCAAGCAGAGCGTCGAGATTACTTGATCTTAAAGCAGTAGATAGGCTCAGTTTAACCACAATGAAATTGAAACGAGGAAAAGCTGAAGCAAAGCACAAGTGAAGCTAATCTCTCTACTACAGGTTTGCAATTTGTCCATTTAGGGCTAATCAAGCATTACACATCCGATTTCTCTGTATTCTTGCAGAGAACTTGTGTTACAACCACAGTGATTAGAAGCTATAAATCCTACAGTAACTTGGGATACATCTGGAAAAAAAAACAAAATTAAAAAAGCGCCCAATAATGAAGGAAATCAAAGTAATTCGATCGCCTTGACCAATTATACTCGACTGAGGCGGAAGGGTTTCTAAATGGACATTGTGATAATCTCTCTAATTACATCAGCATTCAGATGATAATTATAATCCAGTGCAACGCAATGTAGACGCTATGTTAACAACACTTGTGTAATCATTTAGTTTTTCCCGCCTTTTTTTTGTGTGTGTGTGTGTGGTGGGGTGGGGGGGG